GTAGAATTGAAAACATTAAATCGAGAATATACAATCGAGAATATAGCAACATACTCGATATTTAGTTTGCTTAATATCTTTATTAAATTTTGCAAATTTAAATAATAAATGCTAATGACATGCCGATTAATGTGGGAATAAATTAAGGAAACAGAGTTAAATAGGTAATTAAAGAGATAATGTCGTTTTTTATTACACATTTCCTTAAATCTCTTATCCAGGATCCGAATAGCTTTAAACCGGGTAAAACCCGGATCCAAATAAATTAAAGCAAAAAAGTACTGTAAAAATGTATATGTAGATTATCTAGCTGGATATTTTTTTTCAAAACTTAACTATAAATCATTTTTAACAAAAAAAAAAAAAAAAAAAAACTTAACTATAAATCATACCTGACCAAGCAAAAATTCATCGTTCTAAACTACAACCAAATTATCTAAACCAAAATATTATTATTATGACAAGGGAAAGATTGGTGGTGCCCACTCTACTCTACAATGACCAGAGAATCGAAATAGAAAGAAAACGTACGGCATGGTTGGCTCACACTGGTCCACAAGTAACTCTTGTGGTTACAATTTTCACTTCCAATCCCATAATTCTCCTTCCTTGTCTTCTTCTTTCTCCCTAAAATCCTAAATCCTTCATTGGATTTCTCTTCTTCTTCAGTTCTTCCCTCAAGGTTAGTCTCTCTTCTCTCTCGACTCTGTGTTCAACACTGTTTCATCTCTCCAATTCTCATTTTTTCCTTGATGGGGTTGTCTTAAAAATCTATACTTTGAAGTGGGTAATCTCTCCTTTTTTATAAAAATTGTCTCTTTATTTCGTCCTAGAATTGAATCGATCTAAATCACTGTTTCATCAAATTTTCCTTGATGGGTTTGTCTTAAAAATCAATAGTTTGAGTTTGATTCAAGTGGGTAATTTCTCTTCTTTGAGAAAAATTGTATCTTTATGTCTTCCTAGAATCGAATTGATTTCAAAGCTCCTTACTTTGTGTCTCTCATTTTATATGTTAATGTGAATCAATTTTGATTTTTTTATAGGGTTTATCTCAATGGCTCTTAACGTGAGCAAGATTGTTCCTAAGAGTCCAATTTTAGCCAAGAGTGTTAATGCATCAAGATCTCAAAGAGTTTTGTTGGCGTTTGTTCATCATCCTCTAGATGCTAAAAAGGGTTCATCTGTTGAAGAGTTAAAGCAAGGTCTTTGTTGTATAAAGACTGTCACTTTTGTTAGTTCTCGAAGATCTTCTACATTGTGCTTTGTTGGAAAATCTCAAGACACTGAAACTAAGTAAGCATTTTTGGTTTCCTTTGCTTCCTTTGATCAAACTGGTCTTGGTTTGTTTCATACTTTAGTTATGAGTTTCTTGGTGATGTGTTAGTTCCCAAGTTGTGCAAAAGGAAGGTGAGAAGCAAGTGATGCCGAGGAGGAAGAGTAGCTCAAGCCAAATTTTGGTTGAATATGTGTCTAATGATGCTAAGTTTGTGAATGAAAGGGCTCGTAATGACCTTGTTCTTCTATCTCGGTACTTTTCGTATATCAGACGGTTACCTCATCTAGAAATTATGCATTACTGAAGGATCCCTTATGTGTTGAGATTTGTGTTTTGCAGTGGTATTATGAGACTTGATGCTCGTGCACGCCAGGATGTTGCCATTCTTGGGTCCGGGTTCCTTAAACTCGATGGTAAGATTTGTTTATCTTTCACACTAATATGTAATTCTATTACTGCTTCCTAACCCTGTCTTGTGGGTTTATTATGTAGCTCGGGCAAGAGAAGATACAGAGAAAATAGATCGTGATGTCAAAAGAAAGGCTGAGTGCCTTCATCATATTGCTACTGTATGCACATTTTCATTGATATATGCACATTTTCTGACTACTCTTCTGGTTTTGTTGTTATCTTATTTTTCTTATTTGGGTTTTATGTCCATAGATATTAAAAAACATAGCGGAGTCTAAGTTGAAAAATGCCGCTGATAAGCATTGGAGTGATGGCGCTTTAGAGGTATGCCCATCTGCCTCATTCTTTGTTTACTTGTGCAAAGTTATGTGTGACCGTTAAGTATAATCACTATCCGAGATTGACATGATAAAAGTGACTACTCAAATGTATATTTATTATTTGGTAGAGTTGGCGGTTAAAAGACTATTGCCCTGATTTTCCAGGCTGATTTAAGGCGAGCAGATTTTCGTGCTAAACAACGGGCCATGGAAGACGCGTTAATGGCTTTAGAGGTAAAACCAAAGTCTGATATGTTACAGTATTGGTGTTTTGGTTCATCTTCCCTTATGTTAACACTTCGTCTGTCCTGTTTTGGTGCAGTTCATTAAGAACATCCACGACATGATGGTGAACAAAATGGTTGACAGCTTGTAAGAAGCTTATGTCCTTGACACTTCCTTTTTTTTTTCCTTGTTGTTTCTTGATATCAAGATCTGAATTTAAAATTGTTATCTTAAGGGTTACATCTGAAACCGGTACCACGGATCGCATATCGCTTGAGAAGAATGGAATAGCTCTCGGGTTTTTCCCTGGGGAAGTTTCATCTGATCGCATATCTGCTATTGAGGTCTGATTCACCAGGAAACCGCTATGTGTTCTTAAGTATTATTTTCTCTGATGTTTCCTTTTTGATGTTGAAACAGGAAGCTTACAAGAGTATGGCATCAGCGCTCTCAGAAGCCGATGGAATTGACTACACTGACCCCGAAGAGGTATGGTCCATAATCGACGATACCAAAATCTTTTTATCACAGTTATTCATAAGTGATCATATCATTTTGGTTTTAACAGCTCGAGTTGTTAGTCACGACTCTGATTGACCTTGATGCAATGGATGGTAAAAGTAGTGCATCTCTCTTGGCTGAATGCTCAATCTCTCCAGATGTCAATACAAGGTAAACACCGGTATTCTATTATGTCCCTTTACTACTTTCTTCGATGAGTTCTTCACTTAATATTCTTTTACCCTTCTGGAATTATGAATAGTGTGTAGATTATAATTATATATGCTAGAGTAAGTCGAGGCCAACACTTAATTACTTTCTTCGACGAGTCCTTCGGAATTATGAATAGTGTTTAGATTATAATTATATAAGGGAACAGTTGATACAGAAAAGTTATGCGAGAGTAAGTTGAGGCCAACACTTAATAGACAGTAGATGTTTTGCATTAATAAAGTGATTCATATTACCGACACAGTTTCTTTATTCACGATCATCGAATGTTTCATTGTTTGGTCCTTCTCTGATTTGAAATCCCTTGGTTTTTTTCTGGTCTTGTTGTAGAAAAGCGTTGGCTAATGCCTTAGCAGCTGCACCGTCAATGTGGACACTAGGAAATGCAGGAATGGGAGCATTACAGGTGAAAGATAAAATGCAAATCTTGATGACCATTCTTGCAAAGTGATGGACTTTGTATAAAATATTAAAGTACAAATCGAATGAGCCTTTTTGCAGAGACTCGCTGAAGACAGTAACCCGGCTATTGCAGCAGCTGCTTCGAGAGCTATCAATGCGCTGAAGAAGCAATGGGAGGTAGAGGAAGGAGACTCACTTAGGTTTATGATGAACTTCGAGACGCCGAATGATGATGATGATGTAGACAGCGACCTTGATGAGATCTGAAAATGATTTTTCATGTAAACGAAGTTGAAGTTTGTAGATAATTTTCAGTGAACTTTAGTGTTACAGAGACGATCGTAGGTGACTTCGTTGGGGTCATGTAATTAATTAAAAGAGGCCGATTTAGTATTTTGTTGTTGGGATATATATATATTCATATATAACTCTTTGGACTTTAAACTTATGTGTTTTGTTATACCTCCACATGATAATAAGAACGCTAATTCTTAAACACTTACACCATCTCTAATGTACTAGAGTAGAGATTTTTTTCAATGTTTCACTTTATTTTTTTACTGTAAATAGAATAGTTTATAGTGGAATATAGAGTAGGGTCGAAAAAATTGTACTCTATAATAGAGTTTAGAGCAAAATATAGAATGAGGTCGAAGATGCTCTTATCAATTGTATTTTGCTTCATCCTTGCTTTTAGTTGAATCCAAGTGAATTTTGTAAAAAATATTGTAAAGCTCTAAATGGTAACACACAAAAATGATTCATAAATAGATCAGATAATAGTCATCAAAAAGATATTTACGACATCAAAATACAAAAATTACATCGGAAGTGTATTCTTTTTAAAATAGGGTCAGATTAAATTGGTAAAGTATAGATCATTCGGATATGTAAAAACACTATCCGAATTGGTAAGGACCATACTTATATTCGGATATTTCAAGTAAATCGAAATTATTTTGGATATTTTGAATAAATTTTTTTAAAAAATTCGGATCTAACTTTTAGATAATATAGGTAGTTTTATTACTTTAAGAATACACATCATATCGTTAAATTTAGTTTGGTTCGACTTTAGAAAATCTGGTAAATTTATTTTATTAAAAGAGTTAATAATAAAATTTTATTTTTTAAAGTTTTTGTATGGAAATATTTAGTCCAAGTTTGTTTAATAAACAAAAGTAGATGTTAAAGAAAATTTTATATTTAATAAAATTATGGGCAATTCTCTAAAATACCACATTATATTTTAAAGAAAAATAGCATTACTAGTTTTTTTTTCCAATAATATCACAAAATTCAATATAAAAATAAATCAAATATCTTTTTAATGGTGAAATATAAAACCTAAATTGGAAATAGCAAATCCAGATGCAGTTTTCTAATTTTATTTGTACTTTCTTTCTGTTGAACAAATATTTGTGATATTATTGAAAAAAATAAAATTAAATAGTGATGGAACTTTTTTTATAAAAAAAAACTTAATAATATGGTATTTTAGGGTATTTCTCTAAAATTATTAAATATACTAATTTCCCATTAAAATCCAGAATCTGAGATATTTTAAAAAGTTAACGGCGTTTTGTTTCTCCGTTATCTTTCTTAGAAGCCGTTAAAGCGGAACTGTTAGGTTTAGGGTTAATAGTTATCGTTTCATGTTCACCTACTCTTTGCCGCTTTCATCGCAATTTTGAAGGTACATGGACGAAGACGGAGAGAAACGTGTTCTTACCAAACGATCATGTTCTCCTGAATCTTCCGACAAAAGATCTGGTGATGAAGTTGATTGGGTAAGAGATTTGCCCGAATCTTTGCTTTCTCATGTTCTCCTGAATCTTCCGACAAAAGATGTGGTTAAGAGTAGTGTCTTATCCACCAAATGGAGACATCTCTGGAGGTATGTTCCTGGTTTGGATTTAGATCATCGTGATTTCACGGAATTCAATGCTCTTGTGAGTTTTATCGATAGCTTTCTGAGTTTCAACCGTGACTCAAGCTTAAACAAGTTCAAGCTAAGAATTTATATGGATAATGATCGGGATGAGGAGACTAATAATGCTCATATGGCGCGGTGGATCAACGCTGTTGTTACGCAGAAAGTTCAGCATCTCGATCTTACATGGGCTCCAGTAGAGGTACCTCCAATACTTTATATGTGTAAGAGCTTGGTCTCTTTAAAGCTTTGTGTCGTAGTCTTGCCAAATCTTGAGTGTATGTCTTTACCGCATGTCAAAGTTCTCGATCTAGAATGGGTTATGTATGCAAATGAGTTGGCTTTGGAAATGCTTATCTCAGGCTGCTCAGTTCTCGAAAGCTTAAGTTTCTGCAAATGTCCAATTGACAATGTAAAAGTTTTACGTGTGAGGTCTCAGTCTCTATTGAGCTTCAACTATTACGGCCCCAGTTGCCATGAGCTTCATTATAAAGATCTAATAGTTGAAATTGATGCTCCCAAGCTTGAGGATCTCAAGCTCTCTCATGATACAACTGCAAGTTTCATTATAAAGAATTCGAGTTCCCTTGTAAAGGCGGATATCAATATTGAGTTCAACTTTTGTGTGGGAAAAAAGTTTGATCCGAAGAATCTGCCAAAGAGAAAAATGATTGGTAATTTTCTTGCCAGGATCTCTAATGTCAAAAAACTTAGCATCGGTCCATGTACTCTTGAGGTAACGTATATATGTTGAATTCGCTATTTTATTGTTTTACTTTATCCTGTATAAGTTTATCCTGATATTTTTCTTGTTTATGTTGTTGTAGATCATTTATGATTACTCAAGATGTGAACCACTGCGTTTATTTCGTAACCTATCTTCCCTGAGTGTTAACTTCTATGACGACAGATGGGAGATATTGCCATTCTTTCTTGAGTGCTGCCCGAGTATAAAATCTCTTGTCGTGGTAAGAATTGTTTACTTAAAACTTATGTACTTCCTTTGGTATAATGCAAATGGGGAAAGTATCTTAATTACTCAAACATTTGTTACTTTCACATGGTTATAATATCAGGACTCTACTTATTATCCAAAGGAGAGAACTAATATTTTATCTCGACCTCGGCGTCTCCTATCATCTCTCGAGTATGTTAAGATACAACCGTCATTGGACAGGATGGAGATGAAATTAGTGAGTTACTTACTTGAGAACTCACCAATCCTCAAGAAAGTGACTCTATGTTTGGAAGGTTGTTCCAGAAAGGAATCTGTCATCCTCAGAGAACTCCTTACCATTCCAAGACGCTCTAGCTCATGCCAAGTTGTCGTCCTCTGATCCTCCTTGTTGACCGAACATATAAGGTTGTGTTTCTGTACTTTTATTAATGTGAACTCTGTGGTTTCCTTGTCTATTATGGTGACTTTGTTGTGTCGTAGATCTGTAAGAAGATCATATGTTTGTCTTAAATGTTTCAATTGAACCTAAAATGTAATAAGGGTCATGTAAGACCTAAGGATTAAAGTTTCCAGAAACTCTTTATTTATGGAACTATGTGCTTTCTTCTTAATTGTGGTTACTTTGATGTCTTGTAAATCGTAAGAAGATCTGACGATTCCAAATCAGCAGCGCTGACGATTCCAAATCTCAGTTTATAGACAAGAAGCCACGAAAAGGGAATGTGAAAACAGAGAGCTCCGAGAGAGCTCAAGAAGAGAGGTAGAACCAATCCTTGTGACTGGAAAAACCGAGTCATAGATTGAAGAACAGAGTATCCGAATAAAGCCGGTATAAGCCAGATCGAATATCTACAAGCTAAATGAGAGATGAGAGGATCTTGATGGAAAAGCTCCAATAGTTTGTCCATAAAAACCCACAAAAGTGAGATTGGGAAACAAAACAAGAGAAGACATAGCATTGAGCTATAAGTGTATGCACCGATTTTCCTAAATTGCTCAGCTCCAAAAGCTTGACCACACAGTGTCTCTAACGCACCTGCCAATCCAAACTAAAGATCTAAGTCAGCAAGGACGGTCCAATAAAAATAGTGGTCTTAATTAAGAAAAACAAAATGTGGACACTCAATAACCTTCTAAACAAACAAAAATGGTAGTACAAAATATATAATCACTAAAAAAAAGTGAACGTTGCATTATAAAAATTAAAAAGTTTTGCGACCCTAACTTTTTGCTTAGCATGCTTGTCCTTTGGACAGGTCTATAAGTCGAGAGAGATAAGAGAGAGGAGAATTTTACGAGGAGGCTGAAGCCGGTGACGTTGGTAAGAGAAGTAGCGATAGCAACGGCGTTTCGAATGACCGAACTGTCGTGTAGGAATATGGCATTGGTGAGAATTTTTCCACTGACTTCTTTTTCACTATGTGTACAAACGTTGGCGTTGGTGACAGAAACAAACATAGAGAGATGAAATTTCCTAATATTCCTACAATCTTCCGAATAAGATTCAACTGTGCATGTACCATATTGGCCTAAATGTGCATTGTTACTTCTTTTGACTCAAAGACATGTTTTTGGTCAACAATAATTCAGTTCAAACGTTGAGTAGAAAAATATATATATAAAACACAAGATGCTTCACTTTAACCAAAAATGGTATAAGATCTGTGTAAGCCCAAAGGATTAAAGTTTCTAGAAATCTAGTGTCTGACCCAATAGCTCCTCTTAAATCAGAATTACTCTATATTTTCCGAATGAATATTTGTTGAGAAAATCAAAATTCGGTTGGAAATATTCAATGTTTCACTGTTTTTTAACACATGAAAGTGTGAGGATAGTTTCTCAAAAGAGTCAACGAGAGATAATTTAAAACCATTTTCACAAAACGGAATTCTTTATGCTTAAATCTCTAGTCATAATAGAAGTTTTCTACTACTTTTTCACAAAAAGTGTCGTTTTAAGGTTTTAATCTTGTTTTACAAAGAGTGTCGTTTTATGTTTTCAATGCAGTTTTTAAAATCAATTTTTTTTTATCCCTACTTTTTCAACTTATTAATCATAGAGAGGGTATTATCTAGTGTATTAATAAGGGGTAAAAAAGAAATTTGTTTACTTTTCTTAATTTGTGTGAAGAATAGTAGAATGACACTATTTATGAAATAGATGAAGTATTTACTCGTACCAATCATTTTTAAATATGCTAAAAATATATTTACAGTAACACTAACATATATATATTGCATTAAGTAGCAAAATAAGCGCCATCAGTGGCCACGTTGCAAAACTATGAACACAAAAAGAGGAAAGTGGAAACATGCATATGATTACTGATCTTACTACTACATACCAGTGTTCTAAAAAGCGGTCTAGGCGGTCGCCTAGGCCCCGACTAGGCGCTAGACTCTCATGCGACGCCTAGATAACCGCATTGACCGCCTAAAATTACATAGATCTTGTTTAATGTATTTTTTCAATTTTAATTAGAGTTTTATTTATATATATAGTTATAAATATTCATATATTGTTTAATATAAATATAAATAAATATTTTATCTAATTTTTAGTTTTATATAGATATTTTATATAACTTTTATATATAATATCATATTGATAATGTTTTATGTTATAAACGTCTAAACCGCCTAAAAAATCGTCTAGGCCCCGATTAGGCGTTCTAGGCGCTAGGCACTGGGTCACCGCCCGCTTAGCGCCTAGCGCTTTCTTGAACACTGCTACATACAGTATGCCAATATGCTATTTTCTCAAAGTATAATAATTTCTAATGTAGAAAGTGGAAACTATTACATGTTAACAATACAGCTGATGATCTGATGCTTCGAGCACACCTTCAAAGTTACGAGAATTTAAGAGCTTATACAAATTTCCTAGATTTGGCAACATGTTTAATCTGTATTAATATTAACTGTTAATAGAAATTGTATAGACCTAAGGGAGTGGGTGTGGACTGCATGCTCGGTGTGGGAGGAGCCCTCAATGTGACACGATTAGAAAGGTGTCTCAAAGAGTCCTTTCGAATAAGAGGTGCTGGTATCAGGGTGCCAAGGTTTCGCTAGAGGGGAGGCAAATTTACGTGGTCTTTGTTTGAGCGAAGGATTGTTAGGAGGCAAACCATCGTCATACATCAGAAGATTAGAAAAGAATTGTGTAATATAAGTCAAGTCCAACTCTAATTAGTATGAGACATTTTGGAAAAGAGCCCAAAAACAAATTCGTGCGGACTTGCTCATTTGGACCCAAAACAGATAATATCATACAAATAAAGAAGTTGGATTGGGCTTTGAGAGCCCAACAAAACTGAATTTATTTAGAATAAACAATTCTTTCCATATCAATTGATGAATAGATATATTTGTTTCTGATTAAATATTAGATACTTGTGAATACATTAATCTAGTAAAAAGATTTTTAGGATATCAAATAAAAAAAATTACATCCAAATTTTGCTTTTTAAATCGGTCAGCTAAAATTGGTAAGGTATAGATAATCGGTCAGATAAAACACTATCCAAATTTGTTCGGGTATTTCAAATAACTAGAAATTATTTTGGATATTTTTAAGAAATATTATAAATGCTTTGGATCTTTCAAGAAGATTTTAATTAATTTAGGCAATTCTATACTTTGAGAATACATGTCATTAAAAAAATTAGTATTGTTTGGTTTTAAAAAATCTTTAAATAATTAATTAATGATGAAACTTTATTGTTTTAAAAAAAATCGGTAAATAAATGCTGTTAAAAAAATCCGTAAATAATTTTATATTTGTTTGTAATAATTAACAGTTAATAATGAAATTTAATTATTTATACTTTTGTGTGATTAAATTTTGTTCCACGTTTATATAATAAACAAAAGAAGATATTTAGAGAATTTTATTTTTTATGAAATATACTAGTTTCACATTAAAATCAATTTTCCAGAATCTGAGAAATTTTTAAGAGTTAACGGCGGTTTGTTACTCCGTTATCTCTTAGGAAGCAGTTAAAGTGGTACTGTTAGGTTTAGGTTTAATAGTTATCGTTTCATTTTCACCAACTCTTTGCCGCTTTCTTCGCAATTTTGAAGGTACATGGACGAAGACGGAGAGAAACGTGTTCGTACCAAACGATTATGTTCTCCTGAATCTTCCGACAAAAGATCTGGTGATGAAGTTGATTGGGTAAGAGATTTGCCAGAATCTTTGCTTTCTCATGTTCTCCTGAATCTTCCGACAAAAGATGTGGTTAAGACTAGTGTCTTATCCAGCAAATGGAGATATCTCTGGAGGTATGTTCCTGGTTTGGATTTGGATTGTCGTGATTTCACGAAACCCAATACTTTTGTGAGTTTTATCGATAGCTTCATGAGTTTTCATAGTGACTCGTGCTTGAGAAAGTGTAAGTTAAGATTCTATTGCAATCTTAATGGGGATGAGGTGACTGAAAAGGCTCATATGGCGCGGTGGATCAACGGTTTTGTTAAACGGAAATTACAGTATCTTGATCTTGCGTGGGGTGCAGTAGAGATACCTCCAATACTCTACATGTGTGATAGTTTGGTGTCTTTAAAGCTTTGTGGCGTAATCTTACCAAAGCTTGAGTTTGTTAGTTTACCGCGTGTCAAAGTTATGGTTCTAGATTTGGTTAAGTTTGCCAATGATTTGTCTTTGGAAATGCTTATCTCAGGCTGCCTAGTTCTCGAAAGCTTAACTTTATGCAGACGTCACAATGACAATGTAAAAGTTTTACGTGTGAGGTCTCAGTCTCTATTGAGCTTCAACTATAACGGCTCGAGTCGCAAGGGTCTTCATGATGATCCAGTAGTTTCAATTGATGCTCCTAAGCTTGAGGATCTCAAGCTCTCTCATCATTTAAGTGCATGTTTCATAACAAATAAGTTGAGTTCCCTTGTAGAGGCGGATATCAATATTGAGTTTAACTTTGGTTTGGGAAAGAAGTTTGATCCGAACGATCTGCCAAAGAGAGAAATGATTCGTAATTTTCTTGCCGGGATCTCTAGTGTCAAAAATCTGTTCATCGCTCCATGTACTCTTGAGGTAACATATGTTGAATTGGCTATTCTAATGTTTAACTTTGTATTTGTATAATTTTATCCTATAAGTTTATCCTGATACTTTTCTTGTTTTTGTTGTTGTTGTAGGTCATTTATGATTACTCAAGATGTGAACCACTACCCTTATTCTGTAACCTATATTACTTAAGCGTTGACTTCTACAACCACAGATGGGAATTATTGCCAATCTTTCTCGAGAGCTGCCCGCATCTAAAATCCCTTGTCGTGGTTAGGATTGTTTACTTAAAAGTTATGTACTTTCTTTGGTATAAATGCAAATGGGGAAGTATCATAATGACTCAAAACATTTTGTTACTTGCACATGGTTGTAATTTCAGGGATCCACTACATCTCGAAAGAAGAGAACTAGTATTTTATGTGGACCTCGGCTTCTCCTATCATCTCTTGAGTATGTCGAGATAGAATTTCCATTGAAAGGGGATGCGATGGAGATGAGATTAGTGAGTTACTTACTTGGGAACTCACCAATCCTCAAGAAACTCACTGTATATTGGGATGATTCTTCTAGAAAGCAAGCAGAATATGAACTCCTTACCATTCAAAAACGCTCTAGCTCATGCCAAATTGTCGTCTTCTGATCCTCGTTGACGAACATACAAGGTTCTCCTTCTGTACTTTTATTTATGTGAACTCTGTTTTCCTTCTTCATTGTGGTGACTTTGTTGTGTTGTAGACCGTAAGAAGATCCTATTTATGTTAGGCTTAAATGTTTCAATTGAACCAAAAATATAATGTGTAAGACCTAAGGATTAAAATTTCCAGAAACTCTCTATTGATGTGAACTATGTGCTTTTTTCTTCATTGTGGTGACATTTATATCTTGTAGTTGTAGATCGTAAGAAGATATTGTGTAATGTTTACTTCTTTTGACTCAAAGACATGTTTTTGCTAAACAATGTTTTTGACGTTGTTTAGAAAAATATATAATGGATTATACAAAAAGGAAAGATAAAACACAAGATACTTCAGCTTAACCAAAAATGGTATATGATCTGTTTCAGAGGTAGAGTCTTTAGAATTTGAAAGTTTGTCTCTTATTGTTTTTTTTTTGCTAGGTGGGTAAATATCATATAAAATGAAAATAGTCAAGATTTACATGTTGAATACCTAAAATTTAGTTCCTTGACAAATATTAGGGTAAAAAACAAGGAAGTAATTAAACAATCTTCTAGGTGAACTTCATATGAGCCAAAGGTCCATAAGGTTACAGAACTTTCTTCGATGCCTCCTCACATTTATAGAGTTGATTATTTCCCAATCAAGGATCTTGAAGATAGAAGCAGGTGCTATGTGTTGCGAATTATGGGGCATATTATTCCTCTCTTTCCAAGTTGCGTAAATCACGGCTTGAGTGACTGGCTTCGTTAATGTAGAAGGAGCCTCCTTTATAGCCTCCTTTGTGTAGGAGAAGCAGAAGCACTTGCCATTCCGGGATCCAGGACAACAGCTCAGCCTAGTTCATGAACCGTAAGGAATACAGTCTTAGTCTAGACTAAACCAAACTCCAATGACCCTTTGTCTCTTATTTTTTATACTTTTATAGATGAAATTTTATTATTTACTAGGCGAGAATCTGGGCTATGCCAATATATTTAACAGCTAATGTTTTAAAAGTAGTTTACTTAATTAAGTTTTAAATCATTTTTAGTTTTGTTATTATACATGCAAAAAAAACACATTACACTGTATTTAATTTTTTTTAGGATACTATTATTTTTTAAAATTTATATATCTATATTTTTTCATTCTAATTTATATTCATGAATTGAGATTTATTATTATTTGCATAAAAATTTTACACTGTAATTAATCTTTTTCTTTACATTACAGATGTCTTAATTTCTTCTTGATGATGTAATGTGTTTTCAATGTCTATATCTTAATTTTCTTAGATGCTCACACGTACCTGATTTGAACAGTTTCTACTTGTAACACCGGTCGTCTGTAAGAAGTAGTGATATCAATTGTGTGACCATCCACATTTTCTGTCCCTTGATGCAACATTTTATGCTGCTCGCCATGGCTACTTCTTTCTACCTCTAAGGAACACTTTTTTTAGTACCTATCTTTTGCTCTACCTTAAAAAAAGTGTGTCTAAGTGGATCAATGGCAAATGCGACAGCAAGAAAGAAAGGGAGTTAAGCTGAGAAATTACCATAAAGTTATAATGTTTGACATTACCTCTCTCACATCCTTTTTCTCACGAGCGAGTATTTCTATCTACAATTTATGGTAGTCTTTTGGTATCAAAAATTATTTTAAGGTCTAATGTAGAAATGTATGTTAAATATATAAAATCAAAACCTACATAATGATTATATTCCCAATAAACCTGCATAATGATTTATAGAAGTAGGATGCAACAGGCGACTCATAAAAAATAAGAAAATGAATACGAAATACAACAGAAAGTTTATAAATTTACTTTCGTCTAAGTTCATCACCTCATCAAAGTGTTATTACGATACAAGTAGACAATGAATACCAAGTACAACAGAGAGTTCATAAATTTATTTTTGTCTAAGTTCATCACCTCATCAAAGTGTTATTACGATACGAACTAAGACAGCTTGAAGACGAAGAACTATGCAAGTAGAAGCCTATCTCTGTATCAAACTATTAATGAGGTTACTATCATCTTTTTGATGTTTTTGTTTTTGCTGATGTGGACACATCGAGAGACTTTAATGAGTTTCTTTTATTAGTAATAGATACTCTTTTATCTGATAAATATTATTACATTCATTAGAAGTTTATTCATTAATAAAGTAGATGTTACAAAAATAATATGATTAATAAAATAATTAAATATACTAACTTTCCATTAAAATCAATCTTTAAATTAAAACCAGAATCTGAGATATTTTATTAAAGGGCGTTTGTTTTTTCTGTCATCTTTATACGAAGCCGTTAAAGTGGTACTTAGTTATCATTTCATTTTTTCCTTACTCTTTGCCGCTTTCTTCGCAATTTCGAAGGTACATACATGGATGAAGATGGAGAGAAACGTGTCCTTGCCAAACAATCATGTTCTCCTGAATCTTCCGACAAAAGATCTGGTGATGAAGTTGACTGGGTAAGAGATTTGCCAGAATCTTTGCTTTCTCATGTTCTCCTGAATCTTCGGACAAAAGATGTGGTTAAGAGTAGTGTCTTATCCAGAAATTGGAGAAATCTCTGGAGGTATGTTCCTGGTTTGGAATTGGATTGTCGTGATTTCACAGAACTCAATGCTCTTGTGAGTTTTATCGATAACTTCCTAAGTTTCAACCAGGAGTCCTGTTTAAAAAAGTTTAGACTAAGATTATCTTGCTATCTTGATGGGGATGATGAGGAGGCTGATAATGCTCATATGGTGCGGTGGATCAACGCTATTGTTAAGCGGAACGTTCAGTATCTCGATCTTATGTGGGATGCAGTGGAGATACCTCCAATACTGTACAAGTGTGAGAGCTTGGTCTCTTTAAAGCTTTGCTCCGTAGTCTTGCCAAATCTTGAGTTTGTTTCTTTACCGCTTGTCAAAGTTATGGTTCTACAATGGGTTATGTTTGCAAATGATTTGGCTTTGGAAAAGCTTATCTCAGGCTGCCTAGTTCTCGAAAGCTTAACGTTATGCAAAAATCCAATGGACAACGTAAAAGTTTTACGTGTGAGCTCTCAGTCTCTATTGATCTTCAACTATTACGGCCCCGGTGACAATGATCTTCATGATAAAGATCTAGTAGTTGAAATTGATGCTCCCAAGCTCGAGGATTTCAAGCTCTCTCATCAATTAACTGCAAGTTTCATAATAAAGAATTCGAGGTCCCTTGTAGAGGCGGATATCTATATTGAGTTTAACTTTTGTCGGGGAAAAAAGTTTGATCCTAATGATCTGCCAAAGAGAGAAATTATTCGTAATTTTCTTGCCGGGATCTCTAGTGTTAAAAATCTGATCATCTCTCCATTTACTCTTGAGGTAACGTATGTTTTTAAGGTTTAACTTTATTTTATAAGTTTGTCCTGAAACATTTTTTTGGTGGTTGTTGTTTAGGTCATTTATGAGGACTTAAGATGTGAGCCACTTCCCTTATTTCGTAACATATCTTTTTTGAGTGTTAACTTCTATGACGACAGATGGGAAATATTGCCATTCTTTCTTGAGAGCTGCCCAAATCTAAAATCTCTTGTCGTGGTAAGGATTGTTTACTTAAAACTTATGTACTTTCTTTGGTATAATAATGCAAATGAGGAAAGTATCATAATTACTCAAATTTGTTTCGTTGACTTGGTTGTAATATATCAGGAATCTACTCATTATCCAAAGGGGAGAACTAGGATCTTATCTCGACCTTGGCATCTCCTATCATCTCTCGAGTATGTTAAGATAGAAACGTCATTGGACAGGATGGAGATGAAATTAGTGAGTTACTTACTTGAGAACTCACCATTCCTCAAGAAAGTCACTCTATGTTTGGAAGGTTGTTCCAGAAAGAAATCTGTCATCCTCGGAGAAGTCCTTACTATTCCAAGACGCTCTAGCTCATGCCAATTTGTTGTCCTCTGATCCTCGTTGACCGAACATACAAGGTTGTCTTTCTGTACTTTTATTAATATGTGAACTCTGTGGTTTCCTTGTCTATTATGGTGACTTTGTTGTGTCGTAGATCTGTAAGAAGATCATATGTTTGTCTTAAATGTTTCAATTGAACTAAAAATGTAATAATGTTCATGTAAGACCTAAGGATTAAAGTTTCCAGAAACTCTTTATTTATGGAACTATGTGCTTTCTTCTTAATTGTGGCTACTTTGATGTCTTGTAAATCGTAAGAAGATCTTATGTTTGGCCTAAATGTGCATTGTTACTTCTTTTGACTCAAAGACATGTTTTTGGTCAACAATAATTCAGTTCAGACGTTGAGTAGAAAAATATGTAATGTAGAACAAAAAGAAAAAATAAAACACAAGATGCTTCAGATTAACCAAAAATACATGTTTAGAAGCTTTACAAACAGAAGAAATCTAGTTCGCTTGCTTTTCCTTTTCGAAGGAATCCACTGTGTGACCCAATAGCTCCTCGAAAGTAATTGTTTTAGCATGTAATATATAGTTTCTCAAAAGAATCAACGAGATAATTTAAAACCATTTTTGAAAAAAAAGAACTCTTCATGCTTAAATCTTTAGTCATAATAATACTATATAAGTTTTCAATTTACTCATGCCAACCATTTTCAAATATGCTAAAAGTTTATCTACGGTAACAGATATATGTTAAATCAAGTAGCAAAATAAGCGTCAGTGGCCCAACACAAAATTATGAACAATTTGTTTGGAGTTTGGACAATTTTATATTAAACTTCCCCTAAAATTACTCATATTAAAAAAAAGAAGGTAATATGACACCAATAAATCTTAGTGAACCATAGATACTTAAATACATTAACACTTAATTTAAGGAATTACTTTTTCTCTCTCTCAAAAATGTACGTTTAAAGCTCTCGATCACAAAGCTTAATTCTCAAACGGCTAACGGTACAAGTCACTTTCTTCTCCATCCGAGAGAAACAATAGGTTTCACAGCATGGTTTCAACTCCTCACTTGGTAATCTTCAAACTTACTGATCGTAGTATCTGGGACTCTATTCTTGGTAGGATCAATCAACTGCAAATTTCGGAATATGCTCTCCCGTTTGGTTTACCTATGAGTATGGTCTATTCAAGTTAGAACTTATGCTCCTTCACCTGTTCTCTTTGAGGCTTTTTTTTAGGACCTTTTTGATACACTTTTAGGTCCTGCTGGGTTCTTGTAATAAAAATTATTCTTTTTGGTAATATAAATTTTACATTTTATCAAAACAAAAACCTTAATATAGAATATTCATTTCATGGTTACATGTTGAACTAAATTCAGTTAAGATTAAACAGTTTTTTCAACACCAATTGATAAATAGACATACGTATTTGTTTCAGATAAAAAGTCAGATACTTGCCAATAAATTAGTCAGTAAAAAGATAATTAGGATATCAAATAACACATGTTACATCTAGAGTATATGTTTTAAATAGGCCAGTTAAAATTGATAAGGTATAGGTAATTCAGATATTTAGGAACACCATCCAAATTGGTAAGGGCCATATTTATATTCAGATATTTCAAATAACTAGAAATTGGTTTGGTTATTTTGAATAAATATACAAAATTTATTGGATCTTTATAGAAATATTAGTTTGAGAGATAATTCTAACAATTTTTAGGTAAGTCGGGTAACAATTCAATTACTTTAAGAATATACCTCGTTAAAAAATAGTTTGGCTCGGTTTTAGAAAATCTGTAAATAATTTTTTATATCTTGTTATTAAATAAACAGTAAATAATGAAAATTTATTGTTTATGTTTTTGTAAGATAACATTTGTTCCAAGTTCTTTTTTTTTCTGGCAACTCAATTATATTTATATATATAAAAAAACAATACAAACAACCGTTGTACATAAATACAAGAAATACTATATCGATGAAGAAGTATAACCTTAATATCTTTTTGGAGGTCTTATTACATGTCCCCCTTTTCACATAATTTATTTTTGCTATCAACCTATAGCTGATACAGTGATACTCCAAAATGTCTTTCGCATTACGTGAACTAGTAAATTTAAATTCAATGTTGTTGAACATGATTCTAAATCTTGTCTCTTTAATGAAACCAATATACTTGGTGCTTCCGCTAGAAAGCCTCCATATTCCTTTAAAAGTCTTTGTAGTTTTCCTATCCATTGTTGCCACAAGAAATGTCTGCAATGCCACCCAAATGTGCTTAAAGTGTAAAAGATGTTGTTACCCACCATTTGAAGCGATGGGTTTAGCCAATATTGAGACCTATTAGGATGTCTTACATTGCTTGGGATTAAGATTTTTGGGCAATATATATAGGATGTAACTATCCTTAACTCTTGAGCTTGTTTTTTGGTTAACTTAGGTCACATTCATAATATAGTATGAGAGCCCTAGGTTGGCCCAACAAACAAATTTTCCAACAAAAATTGTTTTCCACCTATGTGGCCCATATAAGTGGCATGTCTTATTGTATTTCCGACATGTTGGGCTTGGACTGTTCCTGTTGGGCCGTTTTCCACCCACGTCTCGAGGAGGCCTATTAGAATCTCCCACATTGCTTGGGATTAAGATATTTGGACAATATATAGGATATGGCAACCCTTAACTCTTGAACTAGCTTTTAGGTTTAGGTTAAGTAAGGCCACATTCCTAATAAGACCCTATTATAGAAGAAAACGAAAAAATCTCATCATCTTCTTCTCCACCAAGCTCTATAACAAGAGCCCCTTTCAGATTATACACATCTTCAATCTGTGGGAGACGCCGTCACTGTTCCGAGACCCTAGTCGGATTTTGGTCGGAAGGAAACTCTTACGAAAGGAGAGAAAGACAATGAGAACACAAGTGATAGCAATGAGTTGTGTTTGATCGCGTTTGAAATCGCTCGGGAGAAAATAGAGAGAAGGTTCGAGTGATTTTATTTTAAATATACAAATTTATTTCCCCCTTAACGGCGTTAAGTTTCTCCGTTATATTTATTTGAAGCCGTTAAAGTGGTACTGTTAGATTTAGGTTTAATAGTTATCGTTTCATTTTTACTTACTCGTTGCCGCTTTCTTCGTAATTTTGAAGGTACATGGACGAAGACGGAGAGAAACGTGTTCGTACCAAACGATCGTGTTCTCCTGAATCTTTCGACAAAAGATCTGGTGATGAAGTTGATTGGGTAAGCGATTTGCCAGATGCTTTGCTTTGTCATGTTCTCTTGAATCTTCCGACAAAAGATGTGGTTAAGAATTCTATCTTATCCACCAAATGGAGAAATCTCTGGAGGTATGTTCCTGGTTTGGAATTGGATGGTCTTGATTTTGCTGACTACAATACTTTTGTGAGTTTTGTCGATAAGTTTCTGAGTTTCACCATGGAGTCGTGTTTTAATAAGTTAAAGTTAAGTTTTTATTGCAATCTCGAGAATGAGGAGACCGATAATGCTCATGTGGCGCGGTGGATCAACGCTGTTATTAAACGGAAAATTCAGCATCTCGATCTTGCGTGGGGTGCAGTGGAGATACCTCCGATACTCTACAGGTCTAAGAGCTTGGTCTCTTTAAAGCTTTGTTGTGTAATCTTGCCAAATCCTGAGTTTGTATCTTTACTGTCTGTCAAAGTTATGGTTCTAGATTTGGTTAAGTTTGCCAATGATTTGGCTTTGGAAATGCTTATCTCAGGCTGCCTAGTTCTCGAAAGCTTAACTTTATGCAGAAGTCACAATGACAATGTAAAAGTTTTACGTGTGAGCTCTCAGTCTCTATTGAGTTTCACCTATTACGGCCCCAATACCATGGGTCCTGAAAATGATGAACTAGTAGTGGAAATTGATGCTCCTAAGCTTGAGTATCTCAAGCTCTCTCATCGTTTAACTGCAAGTTTCATAATAAAGAATCTGAGTTCTCTTGTAGAGGCATATATCGATATTGAGTTCAACTTTTGTTTCCGAAAGAAGTTTGATCCGAAGAATCTACCAAAGAGAGAAATGATTCGTAATTTTCTTGTCGGGATCTCTGGTGTCCAAAAGATGACCATCGCTGCATGTACTCTTGAGGTAACGTTTGTTAAATTTGCTATTTTAATGTTTGACTTTATCCGATCCTAATACTTTTCTTGTTTTTCTTGTTTTTGTAGGTCATTTATGATTACTCAAGATGTGAACCACTGCCCTTATTTCGTAACCTATCTTCCTTGAGTATTGATTTCTACATCCATAAATGGGAAATATTGCCGCTTTTTCTTGAGAGCTGCCCGAATCTAAAATCTCTTGCCGTGGTTAGGAGATTGTTTACTTAAAACTTATGTACTTTCTTTAGTATAATGCAAATGGGGAAAGTATCTTAATTACTCAAACTTGTTACGTTTCTTTCACTTGGTTGTTATTTCAGGGATCTAATACATCTCGAAGGGAGGGAACTAGTATTATATCTGCACCTCGGTGTCTCCTATCATCTCTCGAGTATGTTAATATAGAAACGCCATTGAGAGGAGAGGCCTTGGAGATGAAACTAGTGAGTTACTTACTTGAGAACTCGCCAATCCTCAAGAAACTCACTCTATCTTTGGATGATTATTCTAGAAAGAAAGTAGAATGTGAACTCCTTACCATTCCAAGACGCTCTAGCTCATGCCAATTTATCGTTCTCTGATCCTCGTTGACGAACATACAAGGTTGTCTTTCTGTACTTTTATTAATGTTATAAACTCTGTGTTTTCTTCTTCATTGTGGTGACTTTGTTGTGTTGCAGATCGTAAGAAGATCATATGTTTGTTTTAAGTGTTTCAATTGAACCAAAAATGTAATAAGGTTCGTGTAAGACCCAAAGATTAAAGATTCCAGAAACTCTTTATTAATGTGAACTATATGCTTTTTTATTCATTGTGGTTACTTTGATGTCTTCTAGATCGTAAGGAGATCTTATGTTTGTCCCAAATGTGTAATGTTACTTCTTTTCACTCAAGGACATGTTTTTGCTCGACAATAATTCAGAAGTTGAGTAGAAAAATATATAATTAATGGATTACAAAAAGGAAAAACAAAACACAAGATGCCTCAGTTTAACCAAGGATTAAAGTTTCTACTTTCTAGCTATTACATCTATATATACTATTTTGAGGAATGATCATTCCAAATTTCAAATGGAGTGTCATTACGAATACTATGATCTAACGTTTCAAAACAATGTCTACTTATCATAGGAGCCTCGTCCTATATGCGATCCCCCCAAAACATATTTAGTGGATAGATGTTATCCTAAATCTAATTTCTCAAGTATAAGAGAAGAGAATCGTTTGGGTAATGATTTTATATAACTGATACATTTATTTTTAACATGTATCAGTTGATCTAGTAAAACAAATTTAGGACATAAATCTATAATGCATTTTTAAAATAGGTCAAATAAATTGGTAACATATATCTCATTCGGATATATAAAAATACTACGTGAATTGGTAAGTACTATATTCATATTCGGGTATTTAACGTAAATGCAAATTGTTTTGGCAACATTGAAAATATATTACGAAAGTTTTTGCATCTTTTATAGACATATTCATTGGAGAAACTATCGATAATTTCGGTAATTTAAAAAGTTTTAGATAATTATATTTTGTTAGTGTTACTACACTACATTAAAAATATATGTCGTTAATTTTTTTTTGGTTCGACTTTAGCAAATTTGTACATTAAAATGAAATATTTAATGATGATATTTTTTTAATAAAATACCAATTTATAAGTAACCCGATTACAAAATGCAACAAGTATAGCAATACAAAATGAGACATCTTAAATAAACTTACCACTTCTACTATTGAAAGGGCTCAAACCAAGAAGACAAGTAAGACTCGGAAGAACAAGAAAAACGCCTTTGTTCTCTTGACAGAGGAACCAATTAACCTGCATCTAATGGTGTTTCTAGTGTCGAGAATTAGAGCTGAAGGAAGCCAACTGAATTATAAGTGATACATTCTTGTTTAGACACGGGTCTTTGATCCATCTAATACCATCTTCAAATAAAAGTGGTTGAGAAAGACGGGCTTTAGATGTAAAGAAAAACCAAACCTCATGCGAAAATGAGCGATCAAAGAATAAATGCTGAGCTAATTCGTCAGGAGAGATATATTGAGTCCCCACCTCAATAATATGTCACGAGTATGAATCCTTCCCTTAAATCATGCCAAGTTTAAGAGGTAGAGAATTTGAAATTTGTAGGTTTGTCTTTTATTGTTTATACTCTTACTGATGAAATTTAATTGTTTATATTCTTATATGATAATTATTGTTATATTTGTTAGAAAATTTTATTAAATATATAAAGCAGATGTAAAAAAAAAAAAATATGTACAAAAATATTTAGGTTTAATAAAATTATTAAATACTAGTATTAAGTCCGAACTACATACGGGTCAAAATAATTTCATAAATATTTTTTTACCTTTTGAAAACTTCACTGTGGTTACTGTTTAATTAAAACTAAAACAATAATCAAAAGTTGAGAGTAAGGAATTAGGAGGAGAACACAAATGAATTGGAAGAATAAAGTTTAAAATATACACAAAAAATTATTTAACATACAATTTTTAGTAATAAACAACTTCTCAACATTGATCAACCTTATAACTTGAATCATACAAAATTTCTAAAACTTATATCATACCAAATATTAATGGTCCTTTAATTTAACAAGAATCCACATTAACCCACACACTTGTAAATCACCTCAACACTTTTCAGAATGCCATTTAGATGTTTGGATGTTCGTTTTTTATTGTACATGGCGAGACGCTACTAGTACTATTCTTAAGCGTCAGGATCTAATGGGCATTCTGGAGATTCAATGGCCTAGTAAACATGTTTAGGAACTTGAAGATGGAGATCTAGTTATTGTACGCCGATTTTTCAATTATCACTTTCTTCAATAGCCATCAGAATAATCTACAAAATAGATGTTTAAAACAGATAGAAGCAAATCAGAAGGAAATATGGAGAGTGATGACTCATTTTGATTTGAAAATGGAAAGTGGAAAAGAAAAACATGGAAATAAGAATGCCCTTTATCATGACGGAAAGATAGTAATCGAGCCGAAGGTGAGGTTTTTAGAAAAGAAGATTATCAATTGCAAGAAGCAACGGTTGCATATAAACATGGAGAAGATTGTGAGGATAGTGGGAGATACTTTAGGGTTGTAACTTGTAGTCGTTGTAGAGATTTATTTTAGGAGCTGTATTAACTTTTATGAGAAAATAGTGTGTGTTATTTTTTTCTTTTCTCCAGTACCCCTTTTCTGTTTTATAATTCTTTTTAAAAATAATTTGGTTTTGCTGATATGTCAAAATTTTATTGGTTTAATGATTTGTGATTTATAAGATAAAAGATTTTAAAAATAATTTGGTTTTGCTGATATGTCAAAATTTTATTGGTGCATGACTTGTCCTTTATAAGATAAAAGGACAAGATAAAGGATACTAATTTCCCATTAAAATCAATCTTTAATTTTAAATCAGAATCTGAGATATTTTGAAAAGTTAACGGCGTTTGTTTTTTCTGTCATCTTTATACTTAGCCGTTAAAGTGGTACTGTTAGGTTTAGGGTTAATAGTTATCATTTCATTTTCACCACTCTTTGCCGCTTTGTTCGCCATTTTGAAGGTACATGGATGAAGACGGAGAGAAACGTGTTCGTACCAAACGATTATGTTCTCTTAAATCTTCCGACAAAAGATCTGGTGATGAAGTTGATTGGGTAAGAGATTTGCCAGAATCTTTGCTTTCTCATGTTCTTCTGAATCTTCCGACAAAAGATGTGGTTAAGACTAGTGTCTTATCCAGCAAATGGAGATATGTCTGGAGGTACGTTCCTAGTTTGGAATTGGATTGTCGTGATTTCACGGAACCCAACTCTTGTGAGTTTTATCGATAGCTTTTTGAGTTTCAACCATGAGTCGTGTCTTACAAAGGTTAAGTTAAGAATCTATTGCAATATTGATGGGGAGACTTATAATGTTCATATGGCGCGGTGGATAACCGTTATTGTTAATTGGAAAGTTCAGCATCTCGATATTGTGTGGCCTGTAGTTGAGATACCTCGAACACTTTACAAGTGTGAGAGCTTAGTGTCTTTAAAGCTCTCTGAAGTAACCTTGCCAAAGACCGACTTTGTGTTTCTACCGTCTGTCAAAGTTATGGTTCTAAATTGGGTTGAGTTTTACAATGATTTGTCTTTGGAAATGCTTATCTTAGGCTGCTCAGTTCTCGAAAGCTTAACATTGTGCAGAAGGTACGGTGACAATGTAGAAGTTTTACGTGTGAGCTCTCAATCTCTATTGAGCTTCAACTATTACGGCTCTAGTAATAAGTCTTTTCGTCATGATCTAGTAGTTGTAATTGATGCTCCGAAGCTTGAGAATCTCATGCTCTCTCATCAATTAACTGCAAGTTTCATAATAAAGAATCTGAGTTCCCTTGTAGAGGCGGATATCGATATTGAGTTTAACTTTTGTCGGAAAAAGTTTGATCCGAATGATCTGTCGAATAGAGAAATGATTCGTAAATTTCTTGTCGGAATCTCTGGTGTCAAAAATATGACCATTGCTGCATGTACTCTTGAGGTAAATGTTTGTTGAATTCGCTATTTTAATGTTTAACTTTATTTTTGTATAAGTTTATCCTGATACTTTTCTTGTTTTTGTTGTTGTTGTAGGTCATTTATGATTACTCAAGATGTGAACCACTGCCCTTATTCCCTAACTTATCTTTCTTGAGTGTTGACTTCTATGACCGCAGATGGGAAATATTGTCAATCTTTCTAGAAAGCTGCCCGAATCTAAAATCTCTTGTAGTGGTAAGGATTCTTTACTTAAAACTTATGTACTTTCTTTAGTATAATGCAAATGGGGAAAGTAACATAATTACTCAAACTTATTTCGTTCACTTGGTTGAAATATCAGGAATCTACTTCTTTTCCAAGGAAGAGAACTAGTATTTTCTCTCAACCTCGGCGTCTCCTATCATCTCTCGAGTATGTTAAGATAGATTTGTCATTGGACAGGAGAAATGTGAAATTAGTGAGTTACTTACTTGAGAACTCACCAATCCTCAAGAAAGTCACTCTATCTTTGGGTAATTGTTCTATAAACAAATCTATCATCATTCTCAAAGAACTCGTTCAAACTCCAAGACGCTCTGGCTCATGCCAAGTTAGCGTCCTCTGATCCTTGTTGACGAATATACAAGGTTGTCTTTCTGTACTTTTATTAATGTGAACTCTGTGGTTTCCTTCTTTATTATGGTGACTTTGTTGTGTTGTAGATCTGTAAGAAGATCATATGTTTGTTTTAAATGTTTCAGTTGAACCAAAAATGTAATAAGGTTCGTGTAAGACCTAAGGATTAAAGTTTCCAGAAACTCTTTATTTATGGAACTATGTGCTTTCTTCTTAATTGTGGTTACTTTGATGACTTGTAAATCGTAAGAAGATCTTATAATTGGCCTAAATGCGTAAATGGTTTTTGACTCAAAGACATGTTATTGCTCAATAATAATTTAGACGTTGAGTAGAAAAATAATGGATTACAAAAAGGAAAAATAAAACACAAGATGTTTCAAATTTAACCAAAATGGTATTAGATCTGTGTAAGACACTAAGACCCAAGGATTATAGTTTCTAGGAACCAAATTGTAATTAAACTCTATTTGTTAGTGTAGCTTTTAAACTATACATGTCTAGGCTCTAATGAATTTTACAAACCGAAGAAAATTAGATCGCTTACTTTTTCCCTTTCAAAGGTTTCAAAATATTGATAGATAATAGTAACTGCAAGAATGAATCTAGTGTCTGACCCAATAGCTCTTCTTAAATCAGCCAAGACAGTTAGTGCACCAATGCATATGTGACCAGGTCCTTTTGAAGGTTAGACTCTAGGTGACCAGACAAAAGCTTCCAAACGTCTACTTACCTGTAAAATCTCTTCTTTTTTTCTATGTATAAATTTAGTTACATTGATTGCGTTCTAACTTCTAACCCTTCCACTTCTATATATCATTTTCATTTCCTTAGCGCAATATATAAGAAACGACGAGAAAACAATGACAAATTTTTATACATGTAGCACACAAGTATGGAATGGATCTCTAAGGAAGTAAGAAGAATCTTTCTTTTAAACAACGATTCGAGAGTTACAAAATATCGATTACAAGTTACGATCTTCGGGTCCTGATTTGGACGGGTGGAGGTGGACTTTGGTTTGGACGAGCTGTATAATGAAGTCAACGGGCCGAGCCGCAAAGTTCTGATCACGGTTGTACGACTCCTCTCCTAAAACGGTTATTTCGGGATCCCTTCCAATCATTCCATTTCGCTATTTATAGGGTACGGAGGTAGGGTACCCAACCCGGCGAAATGTCTCTTTTATCCCCTTGTGGTCGGTGAACAAATCAGTTAATCTGGGCCGACTGGGCCTAGTCGTCGTACGGCACGCTGTCCTTTTTTTGGGCCGTCAGCATGGGTTTGGGCTTTAGGAAACTTTTCTGATTTTTGGCTCATCAGCTGGTTTGGGCTAATAGGGGAATTTGGGCCCAAGCCCAAATTCATCCATCAACAACAAAAACTGGTCCTATGGAACAATTAAGGAGGTTATAGCCAAATATTGTTTCCAAATCTGATCTGATACAAGATTCAGTCTTTTATGATTTTTTTATGAAATAGTCTTTTATGATTTTTTTTATGAAATTTCGTCTATGTTTTTCTTTACATTAGGTTTTCCTCTTTTAAACCCTGGCCATATGTTTGTTCGTGCTGGCTTATTTATCTACTTGGTTAAAGATACAAGTTTGAAATATTCCTCTCTGATTTAAGTTTGGATTGATGGCTAATTGTTAGAAATGAACTTCCCACCAAAATTGAGTCGAATCTCAAGAAATTTTCCCGTTCTCATATGTAGTAATTTGATGTGCATGCTTTACGAGGTTGTTGATGCGATTCTATATGATGAAAGATAATGAAATTCAAGAGTGTTTTAATTTATTTCAGCTTTAGACATCAAAATATTAATAACTTTAGACAACCAAACCCGAGCTTTTTCTATTTGCTCATTATTTAGAATTATTGTGCTATTACTATGAAAGAAAGGTAAGGTTGTATGTTTAACCATTTAGATAGACAACTACTTCTAGAATAAGTTGTTAAGGCAAATAGATTATTAATTATTTTGCAAACATTTCTCAGTCTGTTTCACACATTTCCTCAAGTCATTCCAGTGGTTCCTATACTATCTTACTACAATATTTTTAGTGTTTCTATATTCTTTAAACGAGCTTCTAAAACGAGTTTTTTATCGGTCTATCTTCTATACATCTTTTAGTGTAAGGTTGTAGGTGGTCGCTATTAAGGGAAAGATTGGGCCTGTCCAATCCAAGCCCAATCCAAACAAAGCCCAACCTAAATAAAGTCCAAATCAGAGTAGAGCCTGTCTCGGAATAACCAGTCGCCCACGAACGACGCCATGTCGATAGGTTAAAGGGTGATTTCGACAAATCACCTTGGACTATGCCCTACATCGTCTCCTATAAATATAAAATAGCAAGTCTTGTCACATCCATCCGCAATTTATGCTGACACGAGTACACCTCAATTCGTCTTCAATCTCCTCAGCTCGTCTTCAAATTTCTCAAATCGTGTTCGGTCAGCTCGTCCCACTCAACCATTAGTCCGACCTCGTATTTCATTTGGGTGTCGACGAGATCATTCCTTGTCAATTCGCCATATTTGTCTGAGTCCGGATTCGTTTATAAAAAAAGATTCTTCTTACTTCCCTAGAGATTCCTATTTCGTATTTGTGTGATTTTGTGCATCAACAATCGCAACTTGCAACTAACGTTCGGAGGGAGAAGCAGAGGTGGTGGTGGAAGCAAAGGGAGTTATATGATGGCTGTGGTGAGGATTATGTAAAGTGTAAACATGTGTCACTTATCTTTGATTATTTTACAGTTAGAGGAAATGGTTTGTACCAAGAAAATAAAATTTATATGTTTCTATACATGTCATAATGTCTACAATGTTAGATAAAGATACCCTGAGAAACTTCATCACGTAACAAAAATACAAAGTCATGTATCAGCGGAGTTAGGTATGATGGATTTTAAAAATTAAACCTAATTTAACTAACTTAAAAATTAACAGTTGTCAAACACATACCGAATGTAGCCCGGGCTAATTTTTAGTATATTTGAATTTGCTAAAAATCAAGTAGCAAAATAAGCATCAGTGCAAAACCATCAACGAAAAAGATGGTATATTTGAAAATGGTTTCTAGCTACTACATATTCTATTTAAATATTATCAAAGTATAATAATTTAAAGGATGACAAAAAAAAAAATGCGTGGAAGGTGGAACCTATAATATGTTAACAATATTATCAAAGTACAATAATGTGATTACTAATGTAATGCACCGTGTCATCGTGACGTACGTAAAACAAAAACACCTTCAAAGTCAAATACCAGAGAGAGATTTGTCGCTACATGTGTTCTTTAATGATATTTGGAAGCTTCATTATTTTGGAGTTTAACAACGACTTATTCAGTCACATTTTTATAATTTGTTGCTCGATCGTGGGACACACTGAATTTATTTTTATTTTTACCAAAAGGTTTTATATTGAATTGGAAGTTTCATTTACTAGACTACACCATAAAGATACACAAAGATTCTTAAATGAACTAGATCATTGAACTAACCAAGGATAAGTAATTGAACTGGCCAAAAGTAAAAGATTGACCAGTTGAGTTATTAGTCTCAATCTTATTTTCATCTCCCTAACATGGTAGTCCTCAGAGTCAAAGAGTTGTATATTTGAGCGTTGTTTGAAATAAAACAAGAATCGATTCTATCACCAATAGACCAAGAAAAATATTTGGTGAATAAACAGTACCCTAAATTAGGCTACTAAAATGTGACCAATTGTTTGTCGCACCGGAGATTACTCATTCCCAACTCCCAGTTTTATCTAATTGAAGGTTGTGTCTTTGATACCTTGTTTGCTAAGCATAAGTTATTTTGCTTAGGTTTTACGGTTCATAAGTTACCAATGTATCTATATGACTCTATATGTTCAAGATTTTGAAAAACTATAAATAACTCAAAGATAAATATAAGTCATGCAATGAATCATCCTATTTAAATACTTATATAATGGTATAAATAGTTTAGTTTTAGTCACGCGAGATCTCTCATTGAATGAATCATCCTATTTAAATACTGTAGTAGTTAAGCGGTAATCAATAATGAAAGACTATAGTATTATTAACTTAACGTCAATTAATAACCATGTACGTAGTAACAAAGATAAGATCGAAAACAAGATCTGGATGACTAGATCTATATAGTAAAATAAAGTAAAAATGATCAACAAGGCCTGGTTGTGGTATATTTAAAAAGAGGACATTAAGTTAATATAGTCTTTCATTATTGATTTCCACTAACATATAAAAGTTTAGTTTATAGTTTAGACACGTGGGTTATATATTGAATAACAAAAAAAATAATGCAACGATATGGAATGAGTCCTCCTATTTAAAAAATTGTATTATATCATAGTGGGATAAAAAAGATACGATCCAAAACTCGATCTGGATCTATACAATACAAAATTAAAAAAAAAAAAAAAAGATTAACGAAGCCTGGTTGGCATATCAAAAAGAAGACATTAGATGTTTGATTAGCTACTGTGAACTACAAAACAATTTATATGGGATTAAAAATGGTTGATTTAAATTTAAAAAAAAAAAAAAAAAAAACTGAAAGAGTTGAATGAACATTTATTAATCTTTTACCACTTGAACTTCATACCAAAAAAAAAAAATCTTTTACCACTTGAACTGAATAAGTTGGAAAAATAATTTAATTGATTCAACTAAAAAGAGTAGAAAAATGTACAAATCATAAAGGAAATATAAGGCTCAATTTTAAATTCATTCATCTACTAATTTACAGAGAAATGAGTTGAATGATACTATTCGAATATAGAAAATTGAGCCTTAATATTTTTTTTTTTGGAATGAATTTGAAATTTTATTCATCAAAAAATTCTTTATTATATACATCAAGTCATCAGTTATGCATAAACCAAAGTATGAGGAGATCATCGTACTTTATACTGCCGGAGTTTTGAAGTAGACTTATCTTAGCCAGTAAAAATTGAGCCATATTATTTAGAAGCAGATGCAACAAAAGATTGAGAACTTTATTTTTTGGACATAACACTATTTATTTAAAGACACGTTTTTATATTATACATCCCACGCATAATATAATATGTTTCAAAGAAAGCAAGAACACAATGATCGAGATTATGCAATGAATCATTCTATTTAAAAAATAATTTTACTAAACAATTATAGTTTAGTCACTCATTACCAAACAATCAAAATCTCTATATAAAGAACTC